CGATATAATTCTCGAAACGAGTTTCAAGATGATATAGACGATTTATGAAACCAAAGTGGCAAATTGTTCTCCGGGCGTAGGGAAAAAAAACAACCAAGACCTGCTGATGTGGCACATTGTTGATAAAATTTTCTTACCTATTTTCTAGTGGAGCCAATTTTAAAAAGTGAGAGCATGTTTCGTAGAAAAGAAATTGCTTATTTATAAGGTGAGGCTTGCAAAATATGGGCACCAAAATCTACCCAAGTGTGAAAATTTCCCAACTCAAATATACTAGTATCTGTGGGTTCAATGTGAAAATTGTTATGAATTAAATTACAAGAAATTTTTAAATTTTAAAAATTGATTCCCTTTGATTATACAAGAATATGTAAAGTTGAGCATGTCCGGAACTGTTCGATGCTTTAATTTAAGCGCTCAATTAAAATTTATTATTTTTTTCTAAATTTATGTATGACCTAATATACTCCATCTAACTTGGCATTCACCTGAAAGTAGATTAAACTGAAAGAATTAATAATTTTAGCAAAGTAAATCGATATTAAAATATTCTATAAAACGTGCTTAAAATAACAAACTTTTGCAACTGAAGAGCTTGTACAAGATCATTGATTTAGGAAGTCTTGTGTCCTGGGCTTTAGTGCGGAAAAACAGCAAAATATGTTTGCACCGCAGTAAGGACAATGACGAAAATTGCACCTAGAAAAGCCAAGAAAGCCCAAGGACTGCTAAAATGGTCGTGTTTCCATTCAGCCATCCAGACTTTTGCTCGACTCTCGCAGTGATTTTGAATCTGCGACTTAACATCTGCATATGCTTCAGGATCAAATATCAAACCATTACCTATCTCGTTAAAGAGTTGCGCCAACTCTTCGTCGCTGCCTAAATTGTTAACAAGAATTCTTCTTCTTCGGAGCTCTTTAACATCATCGGCATGATCAATGAGTGAATCCATTAGGCAAATGTATGACATAATGCAATGATCAGAAGGGCCACCGGGACACATTTCATAAGCCACCAAGTTTAATAGCAAAGATTTTGTTGCATCATCAACCATGATTCGAGGAAGTGTAAGAGTACCAGAAATAAGGTGAGATTTGAACTTTACATCAGTAACATGGTTAGTTTGACTTGGTCTGAAATGAATTCCTGCTGATTTGAGCTCGGTCACTGAACGATACGAATACCATTTCTTCTTGTTTTTGTCTTCAGGAGATGACCCGATGGGCTGTTCCCGTACTAGATTGTTTTTGTCTTTAGGAGATGACCCGATGAGCTGTTCCCGAACTAGATGTAGAAGGTGGCATGCATCCATATTTATATTCGATTCCTCCTTTTTCTGAACACTACATCTGCATCCCATCATTCTTTGCACAACTTTCTTGACAGCATTAGTGCGTGTCCTTTCCTGAGGTGGCATTATGGTGGCTATCCGATCAAGGAAATTCGGAATCAACATTGTCCCCTCCCTTTCATTTCTGAACCTGAATTTCATCAAAACTTTTAGTACTTGTAAAGGAATTTGATTCTCTAGCAAGAACAAGTCCCTACACACAAAATTAAAGTAGGAACTCCAAGGCAGTAGTGGTCCCAGTGGATTTACTTTTTGTTTCATAGCTGTCCCATTGGAATAATTACTTTCAGTTTCGAGAATGGAGGACATAAAATGAAGCACAAAGCAAGCATCAAGAAACATTATTTTGTTGAACGATTCATTAGTCGAGCCTTCCTCATAGCATTCGAGGGCACTATTACCCTCCCTTGCCACTGCTTCATATATCTGTTCGATGGATACTTTTTTTTCACAGGCATGCAAGAATTCCTGCGCGATTGGAATTTTTAGCTTCTCGAATGAATCGATCCATGACTTTTTTTTATGATAAGGGCCTATCGAAACTACGAGAGGATCATAACAACTTTTGTTGGATTCTTTGTCACGCAGCAATGATGGAATCCTTTGTATTTGGGGTTTGACTCTTTCGTCTTCAACATAGTTTTCTACAGAAATCAACAATGCATCATTGGAAATGTCAGATATCCTACTACGACGCAAAACTGCAGGGGAGGCCCCCGATGGCCCCTCAGCATGCACAACTGCCCTAGGAGGCAAAACTGCAGGGGCGATACGAGGAGGAGGCAAAACTGCACAGGCGGATCCAAGCATCATCTGGACGTAAGCACGAATTTGCGTCAGCACGTATTATTAGCAAAATATCAACTTTTTAACTAGACAAATTTCAATTTT